AAGTACTTAAAACATGGGGTACACTGTGTGATGGTCAAGGTGACTTTGTATGAAAAGGTAGTGGCAGTAGGGAAGCTTTCTGTTACCCACTTTCAACACCCACCTCTTAATGTTCTTCCACACTGTTTGATGTTATTGATTAATTGATGGTCATTGGCTGCAGAAGTGTCTTATGGAATAAAGTTATAAGGTCATGGGTCAAAGTAGAAAGAGTGTATAACTCAAGAAGTGGCTCTTCATATCAGCATTATGGTGGCTATTGTCATATCAACTTCACCTGAGTTTAGGTATTATTGCAATAGTTGCAGCACTTTTTTCATTGAGAGTGGTAGTGCACTCTCTGAGATATATAAGATCTATGTGTGCCCTCCCCCTACACTGTGTGCATCTTACGGCAGAGCAACAATGAGTTTTATGCTGTATCCACTGAGGGGAATGAAAACCCTGATTTTAGCACTGTAAATCTGCTGCCCCACCAGGGGATAGAAAACTTAATAAAGCATTTTTTCGTTTCATTTAAGAATGTGCCACTATGAATGTAGTTAATGTTAACTTAGGTCAAAGATAATAAATGCTCAATAACAGCAATAATTGGGTGTGGAAGAGGTTGTGAACCCCACCATAAAATGCCCCTTGTTCCAGACTATCACCCCACAAAGTTTGGTTGAGATTGGGCCAGCGACCTAGGAGTAGTAAGATAAGGGACAAACAGACATACAAACAGGTTTTTGTGCTTTAGATATATATAGATAAATATTTCAAGTCATTAAAATATGTTTTATATCTTTGAAAACTAAACATAGTTCTAAAGTAATATATATATATATATATATATATTTTATATAAGAAATATTATGCTTAACTTTTGAGATTTTATGACTTTAGAATACCTTGATATTAAAAAGAAAATTAATTTCTAAATAGAAAGAAATTGCTATATTCTTCTAGTTAATTTTTTCACCAATCATCTTTCCTACAGGAATATTCAAATCCTTATCATGGAGCTGTAACTGTCCATTTGAACAATATTTCATTTGTTCTTACCCAATCACATTTCAGTCAACATTCTGTATGCTTGAACTTCCAAGGTATATGGGAAGCACAAGTAATTTAGAAATTTTTGAAGTATATAATAGCTACAGATTGTTACAACATAGCAATAATTTCAGTTAGGCACAGTAGGTTTAATTTCTAGTGCTATAGCTAATTCTAGTAATTCTTAATCTAAGAGTAAAGGTTCATTAAGTTAAATCCTTACTGCGTCTTTACAAGGCACATAAGGCTGGTGCTTTCAAACTCTGGTTCCATTGGCACAAACAGATGAGAATAGTGACCCACTGTATTGCAGGTTAACCCCAAGCTAACAGCTAGGTAGACTGGAATAAGTGTGGTAAAGTGTCTTACTCAAGGACACAACAGTATGACACGGGCCATCTTTGAACTCGCAACCATCCAAATACGAGTCGAAAGTGAAAGGCTACTGAACCATGCTGCCCTACCTAAAAGCAGAAAGTTAAGCCTAAATGAAATAAAAATAATAGTCTACATTATAATTCTCTAAAGTAAGAGTGTAGCATAACATGAGAAATAAAAAATGAACTACAAGTAAAGATTCTTAAGGTAACTTACATCACAAATTGTTTCAACTAAATATCTTGTTTTCTATGTTTTGTAGGTTAATAGCTTAATCTATTTCAATCACAGTAATTATAAATTAAGATTGAGCTGTTGACTGAAATGCTAGAATCTGTTTATAAGACAAATCATAGAAGGATCAATAGTTTGTTGATTCCCATCTCTAGTTGAGTGAAACGTTTGTGCTATGAGGTTTTTGAAATTACATAGTTTTTATTATTGAATAGAAATTGAATTGATTATTAGAAACATATCCAGAAATAGAACATCATGTTTTAAATTGGCAGTGTACTTAACATATAGGTTAATTATTCTGAAGTTAAAAAAAAACGAGTCAAGCATTACTGTCATAATTGCTGCTATAAACCTTGTAAATTCTAATTTTGCACTTTTATTTTCAAAGATTTATGAGCATCATACAATAAAAGTATATCCCAAATACTACAAATGCAGTCATTCAAATGACTGATCTGGCTATGAATTCTATTTATATCTGTCATGCTATATCAAACTATAAGATGTATTTGCTAATTTAAAATATGTGTGGATGACATTCATTTAAAGTTTTAAATAAGAAGTATTCATCAGTGACACCAACTATTTTTAGTGCTTATGCTTCTGTGGAAATAGAAACTCTTTGTATGCTCATAACATTTTAAGAAAATTGTTTGTGTGTTATTTTATATGTCTTTTTAATTTTTGGTTTTGAAAAATAATTTTTCCAAACATTGATTCCTGTGAAACATTTCTGTGTGACAAAATGATCCTGTTTTTCCAAGGGAAATGTAATGTATATTGAAGTTTTAAATTACCTGAAAATGTGTAATAAACTTTGTGTTATTAGAGTTATTTTTTATCCTTTTAATATGGCAGTATGAATTTTTGGCATTTGTTTTGTATCACATTAAATACTCTTGGTAATTAATTTTCATGTTTTTCTTTATTATTATTAGATGCTGCTTTCATGTTTAAATCAATACTATCATCCATTTCTCGGCATGACTGGCACAAACATGCTTTTGTTGCCTTTAAGTGATTTGTCAAGCTTCTATCAGAACATGAAGGTAGGAGATTCAGAGAAAGAGACAACGATACTGCAATAAACATGTGACATGTTCATTTCTTTCTAGTTTTTAGTACACCACAAGCTTTAAAGTATTCTTCACCAAACTTTGTTGTGATTAGATTGCTTGAATTATCTTTCAAATTTTAATACTTAAAACCTTGATAATGCTAAAAGTCATTTTATTAGATTTTATATATAGATGCATTACACAGTATCTCAAGCAGTTTGTTTTAACTCTGTTGAAAGAAACTAATATATTTGCTTTAACCTTCTCATTTCTGATAGGTCAAAGTGCATGTGTCATGATTTTTTAATTACATTCGAAATTTAATTAAAGTACTTTATTATCGATGTATACAAATAAACTTGGCATCAAAACATAGCTAATAAATCACATTTTATTACTATTTATTTTCAGTTCTTAATTGTATTAAAAAAATCTTTAAAAAAATCCTTAATCCCCCATAATATGAGCATTGTGACACTTGCTTTCTTGGTCTTCCCCCTTCTCCAATTTATTTACTACCCCTCCAGGAAATGCAGAATTTAACATAAATTGCTTATTTTAGTATAGACATTACTCAGGCAAAGCATAATTTTAATTTACTTCAATCTTATTTGTTTACAGAGTCATAAAGTAGAAAATCAGACCCACTTGTTATGCCCACCTGACACATCCTCTCATTCACAAATTGCTAATAGTTTTCTCTGATGTTTTATACCATTTTATTTATAACCAATAGAAAGCCAAAGTTTTAATCTATCAAATGTTGTTTTCTGTATAGAGAATTGTCTATTTTGCCTCCATTTCTAAACTTCTTTCTCACAGGAATCAAATGGACAGGCTTAGCTGAATTTCTAAAGGCTGTTATTGCATAGTTAGAAACATTATGATGGTTATAGGACATTATTTGCTTTTTGCATTTTATTATTCTGTATTTTTAGGTGCATTATTCAATGAAATTAAAGAATTATTTATTGTAGTTGTCCCATTAGTTTTAAAAAAAAAAGTAGGCTTAAGTTTCATTGACAGTCAACAGGGAAAAAAGATCCAGGTAAGTACTATATTTCTTGTTTTTCATGTGTATTATTATTAGAAAAATAACTAAAATGTAAAAATTTAATTACTGTTAGGTTAGATAAGGTTAATTTAGGTAATATTAAGAAAGAAAAAGTCTTCACAAGGTATGCTCACGAGAAACTCGTGCATTATGTAATTCGATATGGTAATGTGAGTTGCATGCTCACTGAGTGATTTACAACATGTGTGGTGGGATTATTAGTTACATATGGTTCAATGGGCAATAAAACAATAAACTTAATTATGAATAGATATATACTGTTAGCTAACCCTATGATCCCAGGTATTCTTTACTGCATATGACACAAGGTTTTAGTGTCTTACATTCAAAATGTTATTATACTACTACCTATTATACCCTATGATCCCAGGTATTCTTTACTGCATATGACACAAGGTTTTAGTTATACCGATTAGAATAGCATAAAATCTTAGCTAAGAATAGATATTTTAATAGTATACAAGTTTTAAGTTCTTAAATCTACAAGGGAATATTTAAAAAAATCCTGAATTTCCACTAGTGTGACCCACATGATACATTTTTGTCTTAGTATATCATCATCCCTATTTTATTCATCACCCCTTGAAAATGTACAAAATTAAACGTAAATTACTCTCTGTAAAATCGTAATTGTTCAGACAAACCATAATTTTTATAGCCTTCAATTTTGTTTGGTTACAGAGCTATTGATTAGAAAATCAGACCCCTCCTGCCATACCCACCTGTCACATCCTCTCTTTCACAATCACGTTTCATTATATATTACCTGTAACCAATAGAAAGTCAAAGTTTTCATCTATCAAATGACGTATTGTATAACATTGTGTTTTGTACAGAATATCGTCAATTTCACTCACAGTGACTAGTTTGGATGAATGTGTAATGGCTCTTGTCAGGAAAATTTTGAGAGTTAAGAGAATTTGTCTGCTTTTTGCACGTTATTAGTCTATATTCTTTGGTGCATTATGTAATTAAATAAATATTATTAAATGCATTAGTATCATTACTATAAAAAATTAAGCTTAACTTTCTTCGAAACTCGACAGTAAGAAAAAAGAAAATTAGGTAAGTACTTTATTTCTTGTTTTTCATATTTATTCTTTATTTATTATTGTAAATGTAACTAAAATATAAAAATACTATTTTTTTAAGTTATTTAAGACTAGATTAGGTAAAATAAGTAATAATAATAATAGAATTAAAATGATTCACGAGTCATGCACGTGAGCATCTCGTGGGTAATGTAAATCGATAGTATAACATGACCTGCAGTGATTTACAACTTATAATGGCGAGGATAATAGTTAGACATGGTTCAAAGGGTAATAAAACAATAAAATTTAATTAAACTAGATGTATAATGTTACAAACTTAGAGATACTTAGGATAAACAAATGTAGTTTCATGTTACAATCTGAAGTCATTCTAGAAAGAAAAAAAAGGATAATATAGGTTTATTTCGGTGGTTACGAGGTCAGTCTAATTGACTGATCCCATTTTGAGATAGGGTAGAGAAAATAAGAGATAAATTAAAGTTTTGCTGAAAAAAAGTTTGAAATGCATTTAAGAAGTTTTAGGGATTACACGAAGGAAATATGAGATTTTTGAGGAAAAGGATTTTTAATTTTAACATGAAAATTACATTTCACGCGGACTATTGAAAACAACTACTCAATATATTCATGGACAAATCTTTATTTTATCTTATTAAAAATACTTCACTAAGAAATGTGAATTTTTGTGTATGTGAAAGACTTGTAATATTAACTGAAAGACTGCTAAATTTCGTGAAGATATACTCACTATATTGAGAGTTATAAGTATTAAATCTATAAAGACTTTAAACGAGTACAAGAAGGTCACATGGTCAGGCAAATTGACTGAGTCTGTATTGAGAGGGTTAAACTATATAAGATAAACAGTTGTAGTTTCCTGTTGCAGTTTGCAGTCATTCTAGAAAGAAAAAAATGGTAATTTAGATTTATTTCTTAAGTTTTTATGTTGGTTACAAAGTTGGTCAAATTGACCAATTCTGTATAGAGTTATAGTTTAGAAAATAACAGATAGAATATAAAGTTTTTCTGAAAAAAAATTTGGTATTTATTTAGGAGCTTTTAGGGATTATGCAATGAAATTTTAAAATTTTCAGATGAAGAAAAGTGTTTTAATCTTAACATGAAAATCACTTTGCACTCGTAGCAGTTTTAGTAAAAATAATTAATTTAAATGTTTACCAAAAACTTGCCAAATTTCATGAAGATACATTAAGTACTTTCAGAATTATAGTATGTATACCACCATTACAAAAGGGTTCATTTGTAGTCTATTTTAAAATATAGTTGTTTAAGATGTTTGGAGAGAAATTGATGCTCGTTACCAAGGGGGATAAATAATTTGATATTGAAACTTTGATTGATAATAATGTCCTTGTGTATCATTGACATTTGTATTAAAAGTATAAGAGTATGAATTAATTAGTTTCAGTGAAATTTCTGCTGGATCTTTTAGTCAGTATGAATTACTTCAACATGCATGTTTTTAGTATGTATTTGTCTAGGAATATTTTTGTGACAAATTGATCAAAATTTGATCTAAAAAATTACATTGAAAAATTTAATTTACTTTTAAAAATATAAAATTAATAGTTAGAAGAAAGATAATTAGTAGATTTTTCTATGATTTTATATTATATTATATTTATATGATATTTTGCAGAAACCTCACATTTGAAAAATTTATACTAAAATGCATATGATAAAAATACATATCTATAGTTGACTATGTCATTAGTAGATAGTCACTAATACAGATACTTACAATTTTAGAATAATATTGATAGTTTCACTAAAGTAAATTTGCTTTACAGAGTCAAAAACAGGAAAAGGTACAAGAAGTGAGGAGACAAACAAATGATGCAATGAAACAGTTATCTCAAGCACTTCAAGTCTTCTCTCAAGTATGTATATTACTGAATAAAAGAAAGTGTTTAAATTAAGACTGAGAAACAAAATTGAAATTAATACTTCACATGCTTTTTTTTTCCAATACATGGCATTCAAAGCCATACTTGGTATAATTAAAGAAAAATTTTTAAAGGATTATTATTGTATATAGTATAATTAAATATAAATTTACATTGTTTATTTTACTTTAACCCTTTGTGGAATAGAAATGTGTCATTGATATAGTCATTATTTTCCTTAGTAGAAACTTACCAGATAAGGGCTCGAAATTAGTGGGGGCCCAGGAGCCAATGGCCCCAAAAAATGCTGGCAGACTCATAAAAAGTGTCTGCTAGATAGCCCATGTGACATCTTAAAATAAAAAGAGCCATTAAAAATTTGGCTCCACATAAATTGATCTAAGTGTTTCTTAACCGAACAGAACTTATGACAAACCATGAATGGACCTTCCCAAATTTACAAACATCACTCTGAATGCCTGTGCAAGGAATGTTTAGCTTGAAGAAGTTTGTGTTAGCTATACTGGTATATGATGTATACAGCATATATAGCCTATCATGCTTAACAAGCAGTGTGTACATGTATGTGTTTGTATGTATTGTGTATGCAGATCAAGCATTGTGTGTTCAACATGATGCGTTCCAGGCAGTTTGTAGGCATTGCCAAGGTACTCCCACTTGATTGTGCTATCCCAAAAGAACCATGCTAGTGAGCAGCAAAGTTGCTGACTGATCTGCTGGAATATTGCAATCTGGGGGTCCACAGCAAAAAAGCAAAGCAAAATTCCTGGGTAGGAATTGTTACCAATCTCAGAAGGAAGGGGTAAGAGAAAATGGTGTTTGAAGAACAATATTTTTTTAGACCCAAATACAGTTTAGCTAGTAAACCTGATAAATTACAGTGGAATTCTGTGATATTAGTAGAGTAATTTATAATTACTTGTTATTTCAAAATACATATATAAAACCTAAAAAAAGTTATTTTGTTTTACATCCTCCACTTGCAAAATTCGACAAGGCTTAGCATGCATGGTATGGCAAGTGAATACAAACTTCTTTACCGTCATAAACAGTAGAAATCATTTGTTTTCTATATTTACTGTTCTCTGTCCACAGGACAAAGCTAAGACAGTTGCACTTTGTAAAGGTCAGTTTATACTATTGGATACGATAACAGGAGTGCACCTGTGCTACGTGATTTCAACTTTTGCATTAGTAGTCAGACATGGTTGAAAGGTCAATAAAATAAAAGTAATAAATATATCTAGATGTATAATGTTATGAGACTCAAGCTATTAAAAATAAACATATGTGATTTCGTATTATAATTTGTAGTAATTCTAGAAGAAAAATAGCATAATTTATATCTATTTCCTAATCTTTTATGGTGCTTACAGAGTCAAATTGAAAAAAATTCATACAGAGATAAAATAGAGAAAATGACAGATAAAATATGAAGTTTTTCTAAAAAAAAAATGTTTTATAATTATCTGGAGGTTATAGAGATTTTGCATGTAAAATCTGACAATTTTCTGAGCCATAAAAGTATTTCTAATTTTAAATCAAAATTACTTTGCAGATTGGATAGCCAGCATTAAAAAAGAAAAAATGCACAAGCAAATCATTAATTAAAAATCATGATCTTTTGGGTATGAAAGCCTTGTAATGCTTAATAATAATCTGCAAAATTTTATGAAGATATGCAAACATTTTAAAAAGTTACAGTATAACTTTTCTATGGTTATTTTGGGGGAAATAATCTTCCCAGCCTGTACTTGAAGGGTTAATAACTGCCACAAAAAAATACACCTGATTATCTACCAAGGTGATATGATAAGGTCTTTCCCACATATTTGGGAAAATCTAAAGAAAAAAATATATTTCACAGATTTAATTATTTCTGAATTGCTCTAATGTAATGGGAAATTAAAACTTCACAAAATAATCTCTAAAGCAAAGGTGAACCCTAGTTACTATCAAGAGAACATAATGACAGTTATGCAAGATGTAATTCCTGTACTGTATAGGTTGGAAAGTAAAAAGATATTATAACATCAGGATGAAGTTTCAAGCCTCATGTCCAAGACAGTACCATTTTTTCTTCTAACTATGCAAAATGGAATTCTTGTGCAATATACCTATGAGTTACTTGACTGTATCCATGGACTTCTGTACATTTGTTTTACTTAAACATGTTCTTCAAGGTTAATATCCTCATACAGTGTGGTTCTATGGAGAATTTGTCTAGATGTGTGTTATAAGATTGAGACTGACCTTGCCCTTTTTCAGAGAAGATTTTATAATATAAATTGCAGTATTGGGCATTAATGCATAATCTTGGACATCACATTTAGCATGATCAATAGTGGAGGTAGTTCCAAAGGCAGCCCCGGACCTGTAGAAAGTTACACCTGAAAAATTGGACATCCGTCACCATTTTCTATTATATTTTCAGAAAATTTTAAGATGCACAACCAAGTTACTTGTAAATCTTACTAGGATATACAGATTACTGAGAAATGTACAAAAAATGATCTAAATTGGAAATATACTGTTTTTATGAAAACTATTGTAGCTAAATTTTCAAAGTTTAATCAAAAAAATTTCAAGTAAAGCTAATTTTGACCATCAAAGGCGGTGACAATGTTTGAAAATGTGTATCAGGTTTATTTTTGATATCAATAATTGTTAGGTTTACATGTAGAAGATTTGTTAGTGTAAAATAATTTGAAAGGTCAACTGACTAATGACAAATATTTTAACCATAGAGTTGTTGGAATTTCAAAAAACAAACCTAGAGACATTTAAACATTTAGAATACCTGAGTGTAAGAGTTGAAACTAAATGATGATAATGCTTTATAATGTTTTTGGCCTACATATACAATGTTTAGCACATTAACAAGAACTTACGTATGTTGAGAATGGTGGCATCTGCCCAAGCATTCATCTGTCTCTCATTTACTGTGGCCATTTCCTGTGCTGCATTTGAAAAGTTCCGCGCACAGGCAAAGCTCAGCATTCACTTTTGAAATGATGGGAGAACAGGCATGAATAATGTTGATGCTAAATTTTATTTCACAAACAAAATATTCTACACTAATTTGTTAGGAATTAATCACGCTATCATTCACATTTCACAATGTGATGTAACTTAACATAAATGTAGATTTACTGTGTGTTATTGTTGAGCAGCTCTTAGCATGACTGAGATGTTCAACAATTACTTTTTGCAGTGGGTGGTATAAGTAGCTCAGAGATTTGGCTCTTATTGAAACCAAGAATGCAACACAATTAACCTTTTTAAAATCTATGAAATAACTTGAATTGATAATTAACTTTTCCTGGGGGCAGGTACTTTTGCTAGATTAATATAAAGTTTTTCCATCACTGAGGATGAGTACTGTTGCTTGTAAAGTATATTATAAATGATTTAGAGCATCAGGTAACATAATATGTTGAAACTGTAGAAAAGGCAATCTTTTTTATAAGTTTTAAGTGTTTTGGTTTGCAGATTACTTCTTGTATATGCAAGGTAACAACATAAAATCTTAAAGTTTGCAATAAATATAAAAAAATGAGATAAAAAGACAAAAACATTGATAGATATCATAACAGAAGTGAAGGTTGGTGTTACTGTTACTTTGGTCTTTAGTTTTTACACAGAATTTAAACCAAAAGAGATTGGTTTTCCATGATTGTGGAAAAAACATTGAAATTTAAAGTTTGCTTTTGAGTTTTATTTATTTTAGCATGATTTTCACTTTTTCATGTGTTAACACTTCTTCACTTCTCAATTTTATGAATAATGAACTTGTGTGAAACTAATAAGCAAAGAAAAAATAGAAATACCTTTTAACAGATATGATACTAAACTGTTAGTTCATAAGTTTTTTTGTGTTTTTTTTTAGTTGTTAAATTTGAATGTTAATTTTTAGTAACATTCGTTACCATCTTTCTGCATCTTGATCATGATTTTTACTTATTATGATTTCATTATTGATTTATAATTTTTGGGATATAATAATTCAGTATAAATAATGTTCACCTGAAGACATTTTTGTCAGATCTATCTATTTTTTTTCCTTTTCAGTCTGTTCTACTAGAAGATCCACATGTGGATGCCCTATCAGCACCAGAAGATCATGTGTGCTATTTGGAATACCTCCTTGAAGAACGTGCACAAGAAACTTGTACTGTTAATTTTCTTTCCAAATGCCTGGCTGATTATTGCAATGCTTTGAATATGGAAATAGGTGTATGTGATATGGTAAGTTCTATTATGTGCCTAAAGCTTTTAGACAATTACCATCTATCTGTCTTTCTTTTCTTAAAGTGCTTTAACAATCTCTTCCAAGTTTACTCGATGAAATAGACAAAATTTGTTCTATGTTCTTTGATATGTCATATACTTCCATATAACAGAAGGTTATAACTTTAATCTACAGATTATATAGAGCGAATTTGTTTAAGTGGCATGCAAAAGAATGTGTAGAGACATGGTAGTTACTTTAGTTAGCAATAATATTGATAATTTTCAAGAGTTTATTAAGATTCTTGATTATGTTTACAGAATGGAATCACAGTGTAGTGTAAATGTGGTAACAAGAGTAGAGATTAATTATGTGCAGCATCTTCCATGTTAGTTTTGACGAACAAGCCAAAACTCAATTCAAGCATGTTTGGCTTTTGCTTTTCTACTTGGCAGGCATGTCTGCTTAAACCATCAGTTTATACAACCATTGGAATTAGTCAAATAATATTAGAATGAACTGAGAAAAAAATAATTCTCTATTATTGAATTGATGTGTTTGTTATATAAATAGTATCCTGTAACTTAAAACAAAAACTTGTAAATAGTGGCTTTCTTAACATATAAAATGTAGTATGTCATCGAAGAAAGTTTTAAGAAGTTGTCATCAAAATATGAAAAATCAGAAAGAGCTTACAGGTAAATTGTATTATTTGTTTAGATTCTTCACATAATACCCATAAATGATATAATTTTGCTATGAAAGCTAAGTTTGAATGGATATAGTTTTATTTTAGGTACCATTTGCTATTTAAAATTGAAAACTTGATATTTCCAAACATATTTTGTATAATTTATTAAATTACACCTATTATAAAAGATTTAAGAACATCTTTTATGTAAATTATCTGTTGTTTTAGGAAGACAGTTCTGAAAGTGCTCTAATGGCAGTGGTTACACAAAAGTTGCAAAATGAATTAAGTAATGAACAAGAGAAGATTCAAGGCGTAGCAGAATTGAAAGTCCAGTACTCGAGTCTTTTTCAGGAATTATCACCTTGGTTGCACAACAAGCCAGATATTACAGAAGTGATGGCTATTAGAAAGAAAATTAAGGGACTCAAGTCAAAACTACGTCATAAGATAGCCGATAAGAATGATGTTGAAGAGGTATTTATGAGTAGTGTTTTATGTTTATTTAACCTTCATATCCACAATGTAGATATAAAATTGTAATACATATCATACCAAAAATACAATAATTAAGAGGACTTAAACATTTTTTCTATAGGAATAAAAGTTATTATTTAAGTTTTTAAAGTTGTGTAATAAGTGTATGACAATAATGCTTTAAGCATGTATTTAGCAAACATATTTTGTAGTAAATGCTCTGATTTATTTATGCTCTTATTAAAAATAAACCTTAACTAAATAGAGGTATTTTTCTTTCTGCATAAAATGTGTTAAAATTTAATAACTTGGTTACTTCTCATTCTAATAGTTATTAGCTTCTTACATTAATAGACACGATGTAAACTAAACTTTCTTGACATATGTTGAAAAAGTGTCTTTTATTGTTGTACTCTGCTGTCTAAGCTTGATCATTGATGGAATAGGTATTCTATGCCAGTTGACATTATTTTGTAAAACAGTATAATCTGAATAGCTTGATTTAATCATTGAAACATGTAGAAGAAAGTAATGATCATTCTGTTTTATATTCATATCAATATATAAGATTTCTAGGTATTTATATGGTGATTACACCTAGTAACATTGTATTATAGTTCATAAGAGTGTATTTCAGTGCAGCTTACTGTGTATAAAAGGTGTGAGTGTTGACTCCATCCAGACCGTTAGAGTTTGTCAGCCTTATGTCTTCTGTTGAACACTATTTGTTTTTACTGGAATTGAAATTGTAATTTATATTACAGAATATTATCTGTTCTGTGAAAATGTCAATAGCAAGCTATAAACTATGGTTCTGGTCTTGCATCGTTTCTGGGACGAGGTGTGTCGGCTCTCGGGGGTGGGTGTTGACTGTTTGGTCTCTCTGCTCGTGACCCACTGATCTCGTGTGTCAGACTTGAAGCTTCACTTCCATCTCATCACAACAACAGGAAAGTGAAAGCACTTCCTGTCTTCTTCTCGGCCTCTCCTCTTGCTTGACCATGGCAAGTCATCAAAGTAAAATTGAAATACCATGGAAGTCACAACTCATTCTCCCAAACTTTAACTATCACGATCTCTAAATTATCACGTAAGTCAAGAAAGGGGCAAAGAGAAATAACTCTAATTTCTGACCACCCCTGGGTTATTAAACCTAAGTACCTACCATGATTGGATTGGATTGCATCCAAGCCAGTGAGTACCTTTTAGGTGTTGAGTTTACACCTGTTTGTCAAATTTCAAAATTTAAGTAAAAATTATAATTCTTACTCTGTTTAAAAAACATTTAGCTCAAAAGTGTTTTACAAATGAAATTTTATAATTTTGTAGCATCTTTGTTTAATGTATTTAACAAAGAAAAATAGGAAAAATGTCTCAACTTTTTTCTGCAAAGCTCCAGGGAGGCTCATCTGTAAACAGCATACAGATTTTTTAAAATATTTTTCTCCATAATTTCAGTTGAGGATATAGATGTGCTATATGATTAAAAGTAATTACTGCATAGTCAGTAGGTGTTGCTGACTGACTGCCCTTCCTGTGGTCAGGAATTCTAAATTAACGATGGTCTTGCCTAGATCTTAGGGGTTCTCTGGCCTAATCATTTAAACCACGTGTCACATTTGATGTAATTCAGGTTGAAAATACCAAATAGTATTCAATATATTGAAAAGGTATTGAAGCATGAATGTTCTATACATTCATCTTGGTATAATTAAAACTGAGGCTAAAGCTAAAACATATCTTTTGAAACATTAAAAAGTCTTTGGATTGAATTTTTGCAAAAAAATAAAAAAATGAGAAAACCTAACAGGCTACACTTTTTCTAAGCTTGCATTTGAAGAGTAGATTACTGTAAGAATTTATTCTATTAAGTGTATGTGAGTTTGTGAGTAATGACATGTATAGTTATACAAAAGAGTATATCTGGATGAAAAGGAATATTTACCTATAAAATTAATTGAAAAGATAGTTCAATTTGCTTGTATTCATTAAAGTTTACAACATGAACGAAAACATTCATTAAATAGATAACGTAATAGGTTTTATGTCAATATGGAGCAAATCTGCTCATTATCAGTTCATAAGAGGTGTGCTAACTTTTATGAAAACAACACAAGTGTCATATTGTTCGGATAACATGGTATAATAAAATTAAAACTGAAATCAACAGGTGCATATAAGATCTGCAATAAAAAATGGAGACTTGATGTAGTTGTTTTGGTTTGAAACAAAGAAAACCTTTTTTAACCAAATATAAAGTAATGGAAATAGATACATTAATTTATGGCTAGCGTTTCTTCCTACAATAGCATCTGAGGGCACAATTGTACTTTACTTTCACGAGAATAATTCTGCTTAAGATGAAGTGGCAGTTCCATACGTTTACTGGCTTTGCTTGGTACTATGTTCAAGTTCAAACTCTGCCAGTGACTTTCAGATTTCCATGTCGCAGAGTTCAGGAGGCTAGAATAGAAGAGAAAGTAGATTTTTCTGCCTCTCTCTGCATATGTACAGTATACCATATGTTGTGAACAATTAATTATTAAAAACAACTTGTTACGAGATATATATACCTGCACTAGTACTAACCGTGAGCAACCTATGTACAACATTTTATTATTTTAAGTAAAAATTTTTCAAGCATCTTTGAAATTCATAAAAATTAAACATTTTTAACTAGAATGACGAAAGTGATAAAGAAGCTTTGGAAAATATTAACAGTGAACTTGCTGTTCTGAGAGGAGAATTGCATGAAGCATTTGATGAAGAAAGCAAGCTTTTGGTAAGAATGACTATCAAGTACTCAATAGTAATTTATTGAATCTACACATACCAAATTTTATTTGTAGAAAACAATATAAATTTAAATAAATTTGTTAAAGTGGTAAGGTAATCAAAGTATTAAGTATTAGCTCCTAACAATGAGTTTTTGCAAGTTATACAGTGCAATTTAAGATTTCTGAAAATATAATTAAATTTTTTTTATTATTGTGTAATATGTTGTTTTGATGGATATGTTTTGTCTAAAAACCTTCATAAAGAAATAAAAGTAATAAGTTGCAAAATCCCTGCTCTAATTATATTCAGTATTAGATGAAAGAAAGCGTATACACTAATTGGTCACTTTATTAAGACACCTACGTAATGTATAGTTAGATTACTTTTCACTGAAATAATTCTCTGAAAGTTGATAATTCCCAAGAAATTTATTTTTGAGTTTGTACACAATCTTTGCAGAGGATTATAGTGACAAATACAAAATTCATATTGAACAGTGATTTTTGCTGGCAAAGAAAACACTGAAGTTACTGTCCTGCCTTTACAATCACTTGCAGAAAATATGAGCACATTATCTGTTAGGGTGCAGCATTGTGGTGTGGACTTGATTGGCAACAGTATTTAGTTGCACTGTGGATGTTATATGCCTTTTTAAAATAATCAAATGATGCAATCCTTGTCATGAGAGTTTTCCCCACATCATTATTTCACCTCCAGCAGTTTGCACTATAGGAATATAACATTCAGAGTCAAGTATCTCGTGCAAGTTTTCCTTCCACTGTCTACCTGAAAGACAACTTTTCAAACCACATCAAATATGTCCACAGTTTGTGCTTTAAAATGCTGTGAAATGGTGCTTCTCTGTTTACACTTGAGGTAAGGTATTTTTGGATTGGTTGTTGGTTGCCATTGGATAATATTTGTAAATAATGTGTTATTCCAAGGTATGCTTAAAAACAAACACAATGGAAAAAGTTCCGAGTTTACTGAACAAATTCTAAATAAGTCTGACTCGATCTATATATATATAAAAATGAAAGTGTGTTTGTTTGTACCCTAACTCCTCCGAGCCTATTGGGTCAATCTCAACCAAAATTTGTATGTAAACACTATGAACTGTGGGGAATGTCCTATTTCAGCTTCTGAGTTTTAATATAGATTACAAACTTATAGTATAAATTTTGCTTAGACCAGTGTTTCTCAACCTTTATTTTTGCTCGTGGCTCCCTTTTGAGTTTGATTTATCTCTGTGGCCCCACCCTTCATAGACACTGTTTCTTAGGAAGAAAGTTACTTTATTTCCACACTGTTGATTTATAATATTCTTTTTAAATATTTTGTTTATAATGTACTGTTTACTTATACAAGTAAAAAATATTCTGTTAATCATTGACATTTTATTCAGTGTGATTCTTGGGCTTGATGAAAACTTGAAAGTTTTTGAATGTCCGGTTGCAGTGTGGTCAGTGATAAGTGAAGATCACTTCTCTTCACAACATCAAGGCGGTTACATATATTTGATAGCAAATAAGTCACCTGACTAAAACCAGATAAGATGTGGGAAAAGTGATAAAATACAACTTTGCCTTCTCTCAGAGCTGTGGAAACTTATTAGCTATTTCACTACTTATCCAGAAAAATGTTTGTCATATTTGAATCTAGCTTGGGCTGTTATATCACTCTGCTGCTCTTGAGAATCAGTCAAAAACATTCTCAGATACCAGACAAACATTTTGATAGTTACTCGAATATTAGTCACATCTGGTAACTTGACTTCTGAGCTGTGGGGGATATGGGGAGAAGTGAACCTTTGATTCAGTTTTAAATTTGAAATATTTTATTCGGGCAGTGAAGTTGTGGTGGCCCACCCAGAATTTACTGTGGCCCCCTAATTTTCCATCATTCACGTGTGGCCCCTTAGAAACATGGCGTGGCCCATGTTGAGAACCACTGGCTTAGACAATCTAATTTTACAGTCTCCAGTCATCTTGAGTTAAAGAGATATAAACTGAAAAGTCAAATCCACATTCCACACTTTTTTATCTTATACTCTCTTTTAAAAAATGTCCATAATTCTCTTTTATGTTTGTTAATATATTATTTATAACCAATAGAAAAAAATTTTGATTTACTGAATTGCATTATAGGGTAGCGCATTCTGATGACAATTTTTAAATTATTCCATCTATGGATTTAGAGTTGCTATTGCTTAGTTCATCTCAATGAAATACAGGAAATATTTTAATGTACTTATAGCTTAGTTAGAAAACCCAGTTAAATTATAATAGTTATAGAACATTGTATTCTTTGTGCATGTTTTATGTTTCTAATTGATTATTTGAAATATAAAGATCAGTAAAGCACTAAAAACAACCATACCAAAAAATTGGGTTACCTTTTATCAAGACTTTGACTGCAAAAAAAAGACAAGACCCACACATGAGTATTAAATTTCTTGTGTTTTATGTATATTTTTTATTTATTGTTATAAACATAACTAAAATGTAAAAATCCTGTGCATATAATACTTTGTTTTACCATAACTTGAGCTATTTGCTATTCCAGCTTTCTTGCATATGTTTAGTATTTAACACAGTTCAAAATACAATAAATCAATAAAATTAAACAAATACAGTTGTTAAGTGTTATAAGCTTGAGTCTGTTTAAGATAAATACTTTTAACCTTCTGTTACAACCTCCAGTCATTTTAGGAATTAAAAAGAGTAACTTAGATTTACTTTCTATTTTTTGTGGTGGTTACAAGGTTGGTAAAATGGTACTGAGTCTGTATAGAGTTAGGGTAGAGAATATAACTGATAAAATATAACATTTTAGTGAAAAAGAAAAATGATATTTATTTAGAAAGTTATAAAGATTATGAAAATGAAATTTGAAAAATGTAAGTAAAAAGTATGTTTAATCTTAACATTAAAATCATCCTACACTATGATTAATCAGAGTCTGAAATAGACTATGACTCCAAAATTCATAGACAAATCATTATAACAACACTTAATTAAAAATCTGATTTTTTTGTGTACAAAAAAAAACAAAAAACTAAAAGCTTGCTAAATTTTGTGAAGATCACTTACTACATTAAAAGTTGTAGAATTTATAGTTTCATGGTTATGTGGTGGTTGCAAGGTTGGTCAAAATGATAAAGCCTGTGTGGAAAGGGTTAACAGTTAAAACAGGCATCTGAATATCTGTGGAGAACACTAGAAAGAATTTGCTTTATTGCAAGTCAGCTGCATGTAATGGCTATTGAGTGGTATAACAGATGACCATTATTTTAAGCTCTAGGCTTCACCAAAATTTTTCAAAATAATATGTCATCTATGAATAACTTCATTTAGAAAGAGAAGCATGGTTTAAGTATTCATATTTCCACTAGTTATCAAAGAGCCAGACAGTTTTTAAAACTAATGTATGACTTATTGAGTATGCTGGCCTCACATAAACATACTTAAACTAGTTCTGATCACTTATAACTGTATAAGGACAAAATTAGTTCAGTTCCTGATTGTATAGTATTTTAGACTAAGTATAGGAACTTGTACTGAAATTAAAAAAAAACTGTGCGAATAAAGATGAATTAATTTTCCAGACTTATGGAGAGGTTTAGTCAGAATACATACTACATATAGTATAGATTAAAGTTGTAGAAATTTCAAAAACTCTTTAACGAAATTGGTCAATTTGGGTATGGCCTGAAATATTTACATTTTACAGACTTTTCTCTTCAGTGTGTCTCTAGTGTTCGGCAGTTAGTTTTTGTAGTAAGAGACATATTTATCAGTTGCCACTTAGGACAGGTGTCTTTGAACTTCCATTTAAGAAAAGCAGTATTTGATAACAATGCTCCTGCTAGACAAATACCCAATAATGTGTGTCTTTAAATTCACAGTTGTCCTTGTCCTTAACTTCTGGGTTAATCATGATATAATTACATATTCCACATTTATATGACTTAAAGAGTCATCCAAAACTTCACATAATCTGTCTATTTTAAATATGCAAATACATGTGTTTTGCAAATGTATGGGTGGACGTACTAATAAGGTGGCTGTTCAGTTTATTATTCTAATTGGTTTTTCTGTATGCATTTTGTTATTTTAATGCTAAAGTATTGCAGTAATTATGATAGATAAGTAAGTTTTTATTAATTTAAAAGTACTCTTTTTGATTTTTAATAAAAATTTTACATCTGTAGCTGTAATAATTTACTTGATTTTTTTTTGTTTTCACTATTTTGGAATGAAGTTAGTGTATAGTGAAAATCATAATGAAAATATTCAAGGAAGAGTAGCAATAATTAACCTGACTGATATAAATCTACCACTAAAGCTAGTTTTAGCTACTGTAATTATTACAACTGCTTCATTCCTCCTCCTGCCTATGCTTCACAGTTGTGTGTCATTTCAGGGGAGGTGTCCAGCCCTTTTTTTTTCCTTTTGATAGACCTATTCAATCAAGTATGATATGTTTTATCATTATCTCCCATTTCCTTTCATTCTATTCCTGCCCTTCACAGTGATGAGTTGTGGGATCAGTTTTTAGTGTTCGCTGAACCCCTCTAGTTATTGGCATTAACAAATGTAATTTTGGGGACCTCTTGAGTTCAGCAGTACATATACCCTGATCCCACGTACTTTGGAGGACCATGCTCTGGGGTGTCATCGTTCTGACTTTCCCTCCTTAGGCTTACAGAGTTTAGAGTTATCTGTCCACTTGTGGAGATCACACCTCCTGTACTTCAGTTTTTGAGCTTGGCACTTTTGTTTTGCACTTGGAGAGCTTGAGGCATTCCTGAATCTCAAGAGCCCAGGGTATAGACAGCCCTGTTGCATAACTTAAATTGACCTCTCTTTTATCTCACACCCCTCTTGTCCGCATTCCTCACCCTGGTCGGTTCTGGCCTTCCAACTGCCTGGAGTTTGTCGCTAATCCTTATGGTGATGTTTTGGGGGCAACTGGTGGTCTTGGTTCATATGTGGGCATTCGGGCCCGGTGAGGGCTGAGCTCATATTCCCCTCAGTAGGACAGTGTTATGTATATGGACTTCCAATTCTGAGGTTTAATTCCACATGGTGGACATGGCTATTGGACCAATGTGGCTTTGCTCTACAATATACAAACATTGATACTACAGCAGACATCGTACACAAGTGCTTTACACAGTTTTGTCCAAGTTTTGAGATAATTTCTCACATATTCTTGGGTTCTGAGGTGATTGCAGTTGGTCTGGTCCTTCTTGTATTCTTCCTACTCCTCAGGTTTTCATTTCCTATCAGTGTTTTTAGGAGGTGGTTTGGTATTTGCTTTGTAAGGGTGCCTTTGTAATGGAGATCCCTATATTTGGGTTTTTTATTCCCATCTGTTTGTTATCCCCACAGAGTTAGGTCGACTCTGAACTATTTATTTGTCCTCCCACATTTCACCATGGGGTCATAATTAGCCCTTTGTTGGGTTTTCCCTCCTGGTTTGGTGAGGATGAGGGTGTTGTGTCAGATGTTTTCCTTCTCATTAAATGTTCCTCTGCATCCTGATTTTCTTCAGTTGGTCCATAGGTGTTGTGTGTTTTCAGTCTGGACTCCTCGATTGGATCTCTCTTTAGCTTCTTACAATTTTTGTCAGATGGTCTGGGTGTTTGTTCATCTTGTACCTCTCCAGGATTGATAGCAGGCTTTTGAATATGATGACCAATTACCACAGAAACATTAGACAGTTTTGGGATTATCTTTTGTTGTTGTAGGTATTTTTACCAGTTACTAAAATTGGTTGCCCCTACGGTATATGTGTGTTTTTTAGTGTAATTACTGGTTATTTCAGCAAAATGTTAACCCCCATGTTTCTCTTTCTCTTGAAGTGTTTTAATATTTAGCCTGTTTTTATGGTTTTTACTATTTTCATTTAATCTGCATTACAAGAACCATTTACTTTTAGATTTATCCGTATAGCCTAGCTTACTTGACAGTGAGCTGTTATGAAAAGCACACATACATGTTTATAAATTTAAAGTCATATTTGAACTCTTCCACCCTCCCACCTCACTGGCTTTATCAAGACAAAAATCAAAGTGTTCTATGAATTGTTGAACTTAAGGTAGATTACTGTGGCGGTCCTTGTAAAAGGAGATAATTTTTTCTCTTTCTCAGTTTTAACTGACCTTATTTTAATAGAATGCAAAGTGTTAATACTTATTTTTATAATCTGAAAATACTTATATATTTTTGTTTCAATCAACTAGAAAAAGTTGGCTGAATTGCAGGAATCTCATTTCCCAGAATTGGACTTTCAATATTCTGAATTGGGAATATCAAATTATGTGGTAAATATAATAGTTTTTATTGTGAATTGCTAAAGTGGGCATTTTGTCATGAAAAAGCTGTAAAATATATGTAAAATTGATTATTTTTGTACGTGTTCATTTTTTCTTTCTTTCCAAGGAATCTGTGTGATTATAATTTGATTTGTATTCTTTTTTACAAATAACACATTTTTTTGTTTTCATACATCTAAATGTCACTGCAAGTTTTGAGCTTTATGATTTTTCAAATATAGGATTTTTTTGATATCTGAACTTCTAATTTCATGCATCAGTTCATCTTCATCCTCCAGGTTGTTTTCTACGTAAAAAGTTTTTTGTGAAAAAGTAACACGTGAAACATAAGATGAACTTAGTCAAAAAAATTGTAAGCTATTAAAATGTTTACCAATTATAGCACTAGTTTACTATTCCAAGTGTAAAATTCTCTTAACTACCCAGTGAAGCATGATTCTGTTCTCTGGGAAATTATAAAAGTTTTTGTGTACATTTTCCTTAATTGAATATTTACGTGATCAATAATTTAGAAAAACATGTAAATATTTGGTAATAATAACTGTATAACTTAGTTACGAACTAAAATAAAGTTAATTTTGTGATTTCTCATACATTTGTTTCTAAAATAAGTACCTGTTTCATATCTTTCAAAAATAATTCTTATATGAAAACTGAAATAAAATAATAATTTGTTTCATACTTTGTTTAAGTGTTTATATTCGGATGCATTTTTCTATGTATATAAATTAGTCTGCATTATTAAGTTGTTTTTTTTATCTTTGTATTTTATTTACCAAAGTTAAACCAGATTCATCCACAAATTTTATAAGGAAGACTTCACCTTGCAGGTCATAATTTGGTAAAAAATAATATATAATCTCAAATTGCCAATTTCATAAGCTTACCAAGAGCTTAACTCTATAGAACTAACATTTATTATGTCAGTAGTGGCTCACCATTATTCTTTTTATAGGTTTTTGTTTCTTATTTAACCCTTTCCAGGCTGGTGAGCATTTCAGGGGTCTAGTGCATACTCACATATCAAATTTCAAAATTGAAGTAAAAATAACAATTCTAACTTTATTTCAAAAATCTTTTTTAACTAACAAGATTTTAGAACTAATTTTCTATCATTTTGTAACATTCATAGATAAAAATATGAAAAAAATGTTCTAACGTACATTTCTGCTTAGTTCCATGTCTCACATGTGAACAACACACTTATCGATTTTGTTTAGACTTTTTCTAACCATCTCAGTATATGTTTATAGTTGCTGAGAAATTATCATCTCTTGAAAATGTAATTATCAGTTTTGTTTCTTGTGTGATTCCACATATCATGTAATTATTAGTGTTTTATTTCTTGTGTGATTCCCCAAGTCATGTAATTATTAGTGGTTTGTTTCTCATGTGATTACCCATATCATGTAATTATCAGTGTTTTATTTCTTGTGTGATTCCCCATGTTATGTAATTATCAGTGGTTTGTTTCTCATGTGATTCCCCATGTCATATAATCATCAGTGGTTTGTTACTCACATGATTCTCTGCATCTTTCTCTGGTTCCTTCCCTTTTTTTTTGACAGGAAAGTGACAAGACCTAACTCATTCAGAGAATAACAACAGAATATAGTGGAAAACTTAGCACACTTAATAACAAGTCACAGATCTGGAAATTTTTTATAGTTTCTTTTTAGATGTTCATTTCATTCCTGAAAAGATTTTTAGATTTTTGTGTTAAATTATATTTGATTAAAAACTATAGACATATAAATTTACAATTTATTGAAATGAAAGTTTATCTATTAGATATAAATTGATTTGAACCAAAAATATTGTTAGCATTAATATTGTTACCTTGACTAACCTATCACCATTTTGAAAGGTCAGGACCTTGGATACTAATAAATCTTTGTCAATTTTTATGGGGTTTTACAGATTATAGCTGAAAGTGGTAACTATTGCAATCACTATGATAAAGTATCAAAATATAACATTATTATGGTTATAAATAAAGTTGAAACTGATTGGATATATTGAATATATAGAATAAGACATTTTAAGCATCTTAGAAAAAAATTAAATTTTGAAACAAAAGGAAGTATTTTTAATTTTTTTTTCCAACTTTTTTGTAATTTTCCAACATAAAAGTTACGGAAAAACTAAGTCAAATTATATTAATTTTTTAAAGCTGAAACTAGATACAATTTAATATGTTTTTTAAGTGTTGTACAATTTCATTTAAGTATTTTCATCAGGAGAAGGGAAGTATCAAAGGATATCAGTGACACTCCTCTTATCTAGAAAAGGTTAAGCAGAAATGCAATTAACATAAAGCATTGAATTTATTTCTGTAAACTTAAAACACTTCATAGGATATATTTTCTAGAATCTTAAAACTTTGTACTATATTTTTAATACAAATTGGAAGTAGTAGTCTGTATTTTATTAATAAAATTACTTATAATGCATGTGGGTATACTAATATATTTTTATGTAGGAATATCTAGGTCTCTTGAAGCAGGGATGGGAACTGGACCACTTCCAAGCAGAAAAATCATTAGTGTCTCAGTCATTTGTAACCTACAGAGCAGTTTATAGAGAATCTGAAGTTATAATAAAAGTAAGTAGTGTTTAAAATTTTTAAAACAATACTTCTTTTATTTTACAACCAAAATTCTTGTTTAAAACTAATAAAAATTAGGTTTTTAAATATCATAACCGACAACTTGAAAGGTAGAATTAACATTCAGTATACCATTGTACAAAGGTTTAAAATGTTTCCTTACATGTATTCAAAGATGCATAGTAGTGCTGCCACTTCATTTTTTATTTTTTTTTTGTAAAGGTAAGGTATTTTTTTTTATACTTAGTTTTTTTTTTTCATTGATTTTGGTGCTGTTTCTGTCAGTACTTTCTGCAATATTATTCCAAAATATCACAATAGTGACTTCATTACATGTATATTGTTATTAGTCATATTTGAATTAGCACACGCAATGATGCATTGTTAGTAACAAGTAATTTTAATATAATCCTTTGGCAATTCTTATTAAACCAATACCCCACAGACAAGTACTTTCAATAGTAATAATTCTCATTACAATACATTGTAAAAGTGAATGTAAAGGTTACTTGTTTGTGTATTTTTTCTTATTTTCACTCCTTTTTACATTTGTTTATAACTCTGGTATTTTTTATTAAAACAGCGATAGCACTAAATTTACCTCTTCGATTTTTAAGTATAAGAAAAAGATTAATTATATTTATTTTTCTGTATGTAACAAATTGTCTTTCAAAAGTGAGGGGAATGTTTATTTTATTTTTACCAAATACTTGTGTTGTTCTCCTTTCTTATCCTTATAGGAATATTTTATTGATAATGCCCAACAAAAAAAAGAATTTCTTAGGAGGATAGTACAGTACCATCATGCTGCTTGTGATAACTTAGTCCCATTGCATGCTGTTTTCTTTTCAAAGGTTGGTCAAACTTAAAATGTGTTTTTTAGTAATTGTATTTTTTTTAAATTGAGTGTGTTTACATATATGTAATATATTTTTTGTGGAAATAAGTTGGGTACTTTCAAGAGCAGTTAAAGGAAGTAAGATTCTCAATTATGTTGCCAGATTCTTGGCTTAAAGTTTGTATTCAGTTCTTCTCTTCTATGTATATGAGATGAAAAATCTCATGTAACCCCATGTGCACAGGTGGGAGTCAAAGTGTGAATGCAATGACCTTTTACAGAGTATCATTTAATATGATATTACGTATTTGATTTCAGAGTTAACAGCTATTCAGTTTACATTACTAATGTAGAGACAGTTCATGGCAGAGAAGAATAAGTACCACATGCAATATACAGGAATACTGAAAAAACTGTAGATATGCATTTTGGAGGTTCAAGAAGTTTTGTAAATGCAATATTTAAATTGTACAATGGACAGAAATATTTTTATTCTTCACATGAACATCACTTTGTACTCCATACTCCAGCATCTTTGAATCTGAGTCAAACTGATGTCATCAATTCACAAGACACCTTGAATACAATTTTTAAACAGATCATATTTTTATGTGCACAACAGGCTTTGACTGAGTTGTAGGAATCTCATTTCTCAGAATTGAACTTTGAATATTGTGACTGACATCATCAATTCACAGACATATCTGGAGTACAAATACTTTTGTAACATTTCAGAATTTTGGTATATAACAGACTTATACATTTTACTAAATGTGTGCCACATTCCTTGTAGATAAACTCTGTAAATTCAGAACTAGAGCCAATATTCCTTCTCTAAAAAAGGGTCAGTTCCAATTGGTCTGACCTCATGCACATTTGATTAAATAAATATAAATACAGAAGAATCATAATTGAAAGACCACCAACACTTTATAAGCTTAAGTGAATTGATTAATTTTTTAGCCTCAGCTTATGAATGAGTAAGCTATTTTATAAAAATGCTTTGGTCATCGTTAGTCCTTGTTAAGATCTTTAGATGATTTGAATGGATGACTGAATTATACTTACTAACGGTGTGCTTCAGTAAACTTCCATTATTCAATATCCTTAAATTTAAATGTTATTTCACTTGCATCAGCAGCTTTTGTGTGGTTTACTATAACCATTTAATGTATAAATTTCCTAAATGTCCAGTTTTTGTAACTTTGTCATATATATTGGCAAATATTCTTTGTATGTTAAAATACAACTATGCACCCTACTTTGTATTGTGTATTCACATGAACAACTAAGATGTGTTTTTAAACCAGGATGTCATCTGCAGTATTTCATGAGATATAAAAATGGCATTTCTTTACTGAAAACATCAAATATACTTTATAAATGTACCTGTCCTTTTTGCAATCAAGGTTACATCAGTTCTACCATAAAAAATTGCTGATTCGAGTGGAAAAACATGCATATTTACATCAAATAAATCAAGTGTATTGGAGCACATCTAGGGTCTAATGATGTAGAGAAAGGTATGTCAGAGGAGCTAATTAATAAATACAAGGGGTTGATAAAGACATTTAAAGATGAAGGCCATAACTTAAATGTGTCATGGATACTGCTGAGAATTAATTTTGGGGATGAAATTATGAGTTGGTCACTCAGGCTAAATGCTAGACTTAGGTTAATATGTAATGATGAGAAGATAGGCTGGTTGAACTTGTGGGATCAATTCAATGGGAGAAGGGAGTTTTTTAGAATGGAAGGTTTACATTTAAATAAGGTAGGATCTGGGTTGTTTGCAAGGGTTATTAACTCAGCTGTAAGGGAATATTTAAACTAGGACTAGACAGTTGTGAGAGCTAGGATAAAGTAATTGCAAAATAATAAGATATAGAGAAAAGTTTAGCATAGGAAATAAGTATCGAAGTAGTTTTAAAGATAAGCTTAATTGTTAATATTGTAATGCTAGAAGTATAAGAAATAAAATAGATGACTTTAGGGACTGGTTGTAATAGAAGGTTTTGATATAATGGGAATAACTGAAACATGGTTAAATTTAGATGATTGTGATTACAGAAATGTCTGAAATACAGGGTAAAAGGTTATTTATTAGGGATAGAGAACTAAAGAGAGATGGAGGAGTGACTTTATATATAAAATGCGAGTTACATTCTGTTGAAGTTGAGGATAGCAAGAAGATTGAATCCATTTGAGTTTCTATTAGTGGATAAAAAGGGAAAAGGCTTTTAGTGGGAATTTATTACAGACCACTAAATGATACTGATGAAATTAGTGAAAAACTTTATAG